AACTGGCGGGGGTGGGGGGGCGGGGGGGGGGATGCTCCTGGTATCTAGAGGGTTGAGGCTAGGGATGCTAAAAAGTCCTATGATGCACAGGTCACTCCCCCTGCCAAGAATGATACAGCCCCAGCCCCAATGTCAGGAACGCCACAGCTGGGAGACCCTGCCCTGGGACCCTCACCTGTCTGCACCACCTCCCCGATCCTGGACAGGAGTGCCCACCTGGCTGCCTGGCCTACCGGGTATTTTTAGCCTCTGAGGGAAAGGCCCTGGCTATTTTTAGCTTTGGGGAGGGGGGTGGGCAAGGCTATTTTTAGCCTGGGCATCTATTTATTGCAATTTTTGTCTTCCCCAAATTTTGGAGTTGGGGGGAGGGTGGCAGGGGGGCTTCTACTTGGCTAATTCCCCAGCGCCGGGACAGACCACTGAAACAAGGGTGGGGCGTGAGAGAGAGCCTGGGTTAGTGTCCCCACGAAGGAGGGGTTGCTCAGTCCTTGACCATGGCACTCCTACCCCTGGCAAGGGCAGGGGGTCCCCACATTACCCTCCAGGCTCTAAACCCTATATGCACGCAGCCCTGCAGGGGAGCCGCCTGCCCACACTGATACCCCCACACACAAGAGCACCCATGAGGCCACCTCAGGCAGAGGCCTCACAGGTGTCTGCATGGGACAGGTGCAGGGATGGCCTGGTCTGGCCCCTGGTGGGTAGCCCTGGATCCCCCAAAGGGACCGGGGTCGATGGGGAGCCCTCCCTGTGCAAAGCCTGGGGGGAGTCCCCTGGGGTCTCCAGTCCTTTGAGAGGCCCCCTCCCACTTACTCAGCTAAGAGTTCCTGAGCATCTACCGTGCGCCAGGCATAAGTTTAGGCACCTGGCATCCGAAAGCAAACCAAGTAACAAATTCCCTGAGCACTTGGATCCTGGTCGGGGAGACAGACGATAAACAAACAGGCACAATAAATCAGGAAATCACAGAGTGTGCGAAAAGCTATCCGCGCTACAGAAAGTCAGGAGGTGGGTGGGAGGCTGCAATTTTAAGCAGGTTGCATGGGTAAAGGTTACTGAGGAGGTGACATCTGAAGCGGGTGAGGGAACAAAGTCTTTGCAGATGTCTGGCTGAGGGGTCCAAGTGAAGGAGCGGCCAGTGCAAAGGTCCTGGGGTAGGACTGTGTTTAGGAGCAGTGAGGAGAGAGCGGGTGAGGGGGAAGAGGTGATAGGGAAGGTAATGCAGGTTTGGACCATAGGACACCCCACGGGATTGGGATGTGCTGTGGTGCCAAGACGCAGCGGCTGCTGTTTTCCAAGTCAAGGGCTGCCTCTCCCCAGATGGGACTCTGGCCCTTCTGGATGGGGAGACACAAGCCTTCTCCCCCTTCTCCTGCTACGACAGGAGCCCCTTGATTGAAATTGCTTTTGTCACTAGACTGTGTGCTCCCTGAGGACAGGACTGGGGCACTGTCCCCACGGCGTCCCCAGCACAGCGCCTAGTGAAAAGACACTTGGCAGATATTCACAGATTTCATAAAAAGGTGCACCCAGTCTCACTCCAAGGAGCCCTACATACATACATCTGGGAGCATGCCTGCAGGTGCCCACAAGATGCAGAGCCGCTCACACATGGAAACACACACACACACACGCACACACACACACTGCCAGCCCCTCTGCAAAACTCACAAACACGAGCACACAGGAGGCCCTTATGAACATAGGACCAGCCTGTCGGACACGTGGCCGGCTGCACACAGGCTTGTCCAGGTCACCATCCAAATCACACAGAACAGGTACACACAGGTGCAGACAGATGTGTAACAGAGGACTGGATTCTAGGGGCAGTGGGAGCCACTTCCAGACCTCTGTTCAGCAGCCCCCTCCCACCTGGGACCCCACTTTCTTTTTCATCAGGGTGGCCAAGGTGAGAGCTGGGAGGAGTGCTGGTGCAGTCAGGTCCAGCTCCAGACCCAGGGAACCCCCATCTCAGGAGCATCCCCACCCCCACCCCCCGCCTCCCTGGAGGGTCTGGAGGAGGGGAAATGTCTGGCGTCTGGAAATTGAATCCTCGAGAGGAGCCCACACAGAAACCAGAGCCTCCTGTGTGTCCTTGGCCACACGTCTGGCTGGAGAGGTAGGGGGGGGGGCAGAGACTGAAAACTTCAGCTCCCCGTGGCCAGAGGGTGGGGACATCGGGGATCCCTCTCCTCCTGTTCTCCATCACGGGCACCCATTCTGGGGCCAAGCAGCACAGCCTCCTGGGATCCAGATGCCCAGGCTGGGGCTGAAGCGCCACACTCTCTCCTGCCAGCCTGGGCACCCAGGGAGGACGCAGATACGAGGCGCAGGCAGCAGGCAGGCCCGCACATGCAGGTGGACCCCAGGCCGGGACCAGATCGCTTGATGCGAACAGACTCCAGAGCAGCCAGGGCGCCCGCTGGCCCCTCCCCCACTGGCCGGCAGGGTCCTCCTTGGGCCCCCCAGGAGAAGAGGCTCCCCAGGGCAGGCTGGGAATAGAAACCAAGCTTCGGGTCTCCTGCCTTCCACCCCCTCCCTGCAGGCCCCACAGCCCAGATGCGCTGGTCCCCAGCTACCTGCCCTCCCCCAACCCTGGGCACCGTCTCCACGTCCAAGGGCAGACACAGCACAAGTGATCCTGCCTTAGGCCAGCTCTCCACAAGTGGATGTTGGGATGGGCACCCCCTGGAGTGAGGGGGTCCTGGTAGGCCATTGGAGAGCAGGAGTAACAAGCATGGGGTGAGCCAAGGCCCCATGGGAGGCCAAAGAGCAGGAAGGAGGTGGCAATGCCAGCAGGGGGGCCGGGCACTCACATGTGAGCACATGCGTATGTGCTCGGGGCGCGGGGGCCCCTGTTGCCAGCCAGGGATCGAACTGGTTCCCTTTTCTGCTTTCCAGATGATTTTTCATCTCTGTAATTAATGGGCAAGTCAGTTCTGAACAGCATGGCAGGCAAATTGCTGGTTAGGAAGATCACGGATAACTTTCTCGATATGATAATGAAAGTTGTATTCCTTCTCTCAGTCTCCCTGTTTTCGTCCTACTTTTAAGTAATACATCTGGCGTTAGTGGGAGGGGAGTGGGGAGGAAGAAGACACCTGCCCCCAGAGCTGGGGCCTGACCCAGGCCGACCCGGGGTCCTCAGCCCCTGGCCATGGGGCAGATGGAGAGGATGAGAGACGGGGACCCTCCGTGGGGCACCCTGACACCCCGATGACCGATTCAGGGCATCAGGCCTAGGAGACCACGTGGAGGGCAGGGAGCCCCCAGGCTGCTAGCCAGGGTGAAGGAGTTGGGACTGGGGTCAGGTTACAGGCTTATGCCGGCCCTTGGGTGCTGGAGAGGGGAGCAGAGATCAACGGCCTCTCCCCAAGGAGGATTGAGATCCACAGGCCCAGAGCAGATATCCACTCTCAAGCGTAGTACCCCACACCTATCCTCACACTGTCCAACCTCGTCTCCTTGATGACTCCTGAAGCAGCTAAGAGAATAGGGCAAGCAGAGAGAGGGAGAGAAAGAGAAAGAGAGAGGCGGAGGGACAACCAGCCATCTTGGCAGCCATTTTGAACCCCTCCCCCTGCTTCCCCCTGCACACCACATGTTTGGAGGTGGGCCGTGGAACCCAGGCCCTGGGTCCTGCAGAAGCCAGGAGGAAAGGGGGCCCTGGGACGGAGGGACACCCGTTCAGCTGCCATGACTGGGGTCGGGGGGAGAGGTGGGGGAGGGAGGAGTGGACTGCGGGGAAGGTACAGTGAGGTGCTGGGCAGGGATGGGGCTGGGTGCTGACCGAGACTGGGAGACTCGGGACAGGGATGTGCGTGCGGGCTGTGTGCAGGCAGGGGGCTGGCTGTCTTCAGATGGGTGCCAGAGGTGCACTGGAGAAATGCCTGTGGGGCCACTTTTTGGCCAGGGCTGGAGCACACACAGCGCTGCCCACCCTCTTCTGCACGGACTCCGGTCACAGGACCCTCAGATGGAAAGATGACAATTGAAACCCCCAGTCTTTACCCAGTGAACACCTGGGAGAGAGGAAGGGCTTGCTCTCAAAGCCCGAATCCGGGTGGATTAAACCCAACAGCTTCCCACGCTTAACCGGGTACCGCGGAGAGAAGATGCTCTCGGTGGCTACAGCCGGCCAGACACCCAGACAGACCCCTCCCCATCCCCCGCGCCTCTGCCTCCCAGAGAAAAACAACCCCCAGCCCGGCATCCTGCGGTGCCAGCCCCCAACGCGGCTCCTCTGGGGGCCAGGGCCCGCGCGCGGCGCGCACACGCACCCTCTCCGCTCACACCCAAACACCTACACAAACAGGGCGCCAAGCACCCGCGCGCACACGCACCGGGGACACGCAGGCACCGCCGCGCCGCTTCCCCACAAAGGCTGGCGCGCGCGCGGGCACACGCAGCCACGCGCGGGCACACTCGCGGTCCCCTCCCCCCACCGGGCACCCCGCGGCCGCGCATCCGCACCCCCGATACTCCGTGGGGGCTGCCCCTCCCGGTCCCCTGGCCGGTGCGGGTGAGGTGCAGGCCGCCCTCGATTCTCCTCGCGCTCCTGTGAGGTGACCCGCGGCTCCAGCATCCCCTCCCCCTTCCCGGCTAGCACAGGCCCCAGCTCCCACCCTCCCTACCTCGGCCCACACACCGGGCCCAGGTACGGCGTCCCCCTTGCCCTGGGCCCGCAGACACTCACCTGTCCAGCGCCGCTCCGGGGTCCGCTTTGCGCGTCTCTCCTGCGGCTCCGAGAACCCAGGCCCCCCGCCCGGCACATCTCCCGGAACCGGGGCGGGGGTTAAACAGGCGAGGGTTGGCGGGGCCCAGCACCACAAAAATAAAAAAAAAAAAAAAAAGCGGATTACACAGCTCCAAAGGCGGCCCCCTCGCGGCAGCGGAGACTCGGGGCTGGGGGCAACCGGGTCCGCGCCCCTCACAGGGAGGGAGGCGGCGGAGGCGGCGAGGCGGGGGCGGTGTCAAAGCTCCGGGGGCTGGGGCGAGGCGGAGCCCCCCGAAGAGGCGCTAGCAGCTGCCCGCATCTCCCCCGCAGCTCCGCGGCCCCGACGGAGGCTGCACGTGTGCGCCCAGGCGACTTCCCAGCCCCCTCCGACGGTGGCAGCCGAGGGGTTAACGGGGTAGCTGGGGCGCCCCTGCAGACCCCCGCCGCCCGGCGGCGCCGCTCCGGGGCCCGCGGGGCCCCATCCGCCGGGGCCTTCTCGGCAGACGGCGGGGCGGGGGCGCCGCAGCGCCGACAGCTCCCGCGCAGACGGCTCGGGCTCCCCGCAGTGGCCGCAGGGGGCTCGGATAGGGGGCGGGCGCCGCGGAGCTTGAGGGGGGGCGCGGCTGTAGGCGGGCGAGGCGGTGTCGCGCCCCCGGGGTGGCTGAAGGGGGGGCGCCCAGCCGGGCCCGTGGGCACCGCAGGACGCGCGGACAGAGCCGGCGCCGGGCACCAGCAATGACAAGCCGCCTGCTCTCCCCTCTCTCCGGCGCACCAACTCCAGGAGGGGGGCGCAGGCGCGCGTAAAACGCGGCGCGGAGCCGCCGCCCAGGACCGGCCGCAGCAACCTGCCCGAGCGCACCGGGGGCTGGCCCGAAAACCCGGGATGGACTTTACTCCCCTTCGCCCCCTCTAGCCCCTCTGGAAAAACGGGGAGAAGGAAGGAGACGAGCTGGATCCCGGCGTTGGAACGGGAAGTGGGGGAGGGGAGGCAAGCTCAAGGAAGACCCGGAGCGGATTTTGCCCGTAGCGAAGTAACGGAAAGGCGCCGAGCCCGGTGAGGGGAGAAATGGGATAGATCTGGAAGGGGTATGCAAAACCCGGGTTGGATTAGATAGAGATGGGAGGAACGAAGGGAGCTGCGACAAGGCCAAATGCACCCGGGGCACGCAAATTTCGGGCCGGATTCTTCCTCGGGAGCCGGAGTAATGCGTCATGCCTAATGCAGTGGGAACAAGCAAGACCTGGCCTAGAGCTCCCAGACCTGGGCTCGCAGGGGGCTCCAGGAGCGGGATGCTTAGCGGCTGAGGCGCGTGGGCTGTCTTCCTGGCAGCGACGTGCAAGAAGGAGGGGCAAAAGGAGGGATGGACTCGGACACGAAAGGATCCGGAGCGCTGGCTGCACGGAAGCGGGCAGGTAAAAGCTGTTTCAGGATCCAGGGGTGATGCGGAGGGAATGCAATGAGGAGGCCGCTACCCTGGGAGACCAGACCTACAATGAAAGGCGAGGGAGGGCCGCAAAGCCAGGACTGGAATGTGCGGGTTGGGCCAAGACCCCCAGCAAAAGATCCCTGGCAACTGGACAAGGGCTTGGAGCTGACCGGGCCGGAGGAGCGGGGTGGGGGGTGTTAGGGGGAGGTTAGTATCTATATAAACACCTCAAACGTCTCGTCTTGGGAGGGGGGCGGGGGAAGGGAGAAAAATTATTGAATTTTAGGTTCCCGGCTAGAGCAAAAACTCGGTACGGATTTCCACAGCCTAGCAACTGCACTGCAGCCGGTGGACTCGAAGAAGGGCAAGGAACCAGCGTGTTCCTAGGCATCTGGCCGAGTGAGGCGAGGGGCAGGTCTCAGGCTGAGGCTACTGAGGGGAGCCCCG